TCCAGTAAAAACCTCGGACCAGTGTGAAACAACAAAGCGTTGAGATCCTCACCTTTGTGTAGAGAAACATAGCAGCATCAACAGTTCCTTCTGCGTATATTGAACGGCCACATACATTGTGCTGAAACTCAAAGGAAACTCTGCAATGCAAGGGTAATTAGTTGCTCATGGACCTATGCAAGGCCCTAAAAACAGAAAATGCCTAGAAAAGGGTTAAGAAAACCTACGTCCCGTCAGGTGAAGTGAGATGGTACATGTGGAAGGCATGACCCCCGAGATGTTCTTCTGGGACACCCACCAAGGTTACCTGCTCCTCAGGATCCCTAACTTGCTTTACCTACAACAACAGGCAGACCAGTGTGACAAAAGTACACTTGCAAAAGCAACATAAATTTCTTCACTGTAAGCAAAGCTTGATCTGCTGCATTAGAAAGAACGAATGAACATCTTCACATAGTACTGTCTGTTTATGAACTGATGCATTCACAACCTGAAGACCAAAACACTACAGAAGTCAGAGAAGCGCACTCAAACAAAGGCCTGATACAGGTAATTTGGAGGATGGGGGTGATACTCAACCTCAGCCTACTAGATTAACAAGCTGGATTAAGTTTAAATCGTAATGGCCCTGTTTATTTCCACTTATAATTGACTCGCTTCGCTTATAATCGCCGTACCACGGGGATTTTTTCGAGTCCCAATTCTCGATTTTGCTAGTTCAAAGTTCTGAAGCACCAGTCAGAAAAAGCAGGAATAAATGAGGCGTTTGATTTCTCACATTTTTTCACCAAGAATCCGTTTATAAGCAGAAACAAACAAGGCTATTCTGGAAATTCATGTGACTTGAAAAGTCTACAAAGAAAAGCAAGGTTAAGAGGTTGGCACGAGTATTGTTTCCTAGGAGAAGCATCACAAGTATTGTTAGGAAAAAAACAGTTGACTGTAAACAATTTTTAAGCAATACCTCGTTCATGTCAAACGATACACCCAACTTCTGAAAGCAAGAGATAACAGCCTTGGCAGTCCCAGAAATGTCCAATTTCGTTGCTTGATGAGACTCCATGACCTGTGGAGGTGTGCCAATTCAACATAAAATAATTTTCTGAAGACAGTGATAATATGATGCTTTTGGGACAATGATCATCATTAGTCAAGGAGATGAGTAAGGGGTTTGATTCACTTATTGCGTTGTGGCTTGGGAAATTCGGAAGCATCGTAACGATTGTCTTCAATGGCAAAACCAAATGTCACAATGGTGCTGCAAGCAGTCACTAAAGAGTGTATCCTATGGTGTGCTTCTGGAGCAAAAGGTCTCCAGCAGATGTTTGCCAGGTCGTTTGAAGCAGGCTAGAGCCGCTGGCGTGTGGTTGATGGCCGCTTTCTGCTGGAATAGGCTTGCTGCTTCGGTTTTTTCCTTAAATAAATTGTGTTAGGGGTGTGTGTCTTAGGTGCGCGTTTTGGGTGGATTTCTACTCCCCTTTGTATTCTCTTCTTTCTTGATGAAATGATATGTAATCCTCTTGTGTGTTAACAAAAACTTACTGTGCCCAAATGAAGAAAAAAAATTAAGGGCAGTGAGTGCAAAATAGTCAAGCTTTTAGTATTAGAACTAAGGAAAAAATAGCAACATTAATTTTTCTAGGGCAGGAATCAAACTATACCTCCAGTTTGTAACCTGAAAATGCACCAGGAAATTTCTCTGACATAATTTCCATGGCAGCAAGAAAAGCAACAACCTAAAAAATCAAGAAGTTATACCATCAAGAATGGTTCAAATGTTATCCACATGATGATAATAAGTGCTGACCACGTGATGATGATAATTGTACCTGCTTCCCCATCTGTGGGGATATCACAGCATAAATATTCGCATCATGCACAGTTTTGTGCAACAGTTGCCTATTTCCACCAGTTGTGCCCATTACAAATGGCAAACCCAATTTGCAATAGAGTTCAGCATTGGCTGCATAACAAATAAAGCACCAAAAGCAGCAAGAATGGTGAATAATAATATGAAAATAAAGAACATTGAGGCATAAAAAAAACTTTTGTTTTCATGGTCATAACAAATAAGTATATGTGTATACTCCTAAATTTGAGCAGCCTGAGATAAGATGAAAGAAAACGAGATTTTGTTTTCTAGCAAGGAGGAAAGCAATTTTTTAACTCGATAATCACGTTCTATATTACACAATGGCAATAAAATATAGGCAATAACAACAGAACAATAATAAGATCCCTGGATCCTCGTTCATTTTCAAAAAATCATTTAACAAACTACTTAATTAGTACAAATTAGACTTCTCATGGATATTCATTCACAAAATCAGAAATGGGCAGGAAATATCAGATTGAGTGAACCAGTTCCCTTTTTTTGCTAATGGTAATGTAATAAGCATAAGTAATCCAGAATTGACTATGGAAGAAAAAAAAATTCTTCAGAGCATGTTAACAAAGAAGAATAGACACATAGATATCAATAGGAATTACTAATACACTTACCATTAACAGCATCAGGCACAGTATAATCGACAACTATGAGATCTGGGTACTCCTTAACAATGGAAGGGAGAATTTTTTCACTTTCAGATGGGTCATGAATACAAATTTCTCTATCACATACTTCAATCTTTCCATCAGGGACCTCCATGGCACTGAATGATACAGGAACTAACTGAAGACCAGCCGAGACAGCTGCTTCAGCAACAGCCTTTCCCATTTTTCCAGTGCAACTATTCACCTGCACAAATAAACGGAGCTGTAGTAAGTGAAATATAATTCTGACAACATAGTAACACATGCATCAACAGGGGCAAAGCAATTTATTAGCATTTAGAGGGTGCAAATCCACCTCTTCAAAAGTGTAAAAACAGTGATTATGATCAAAATTCCACCATGTATGCACCCTGTATGGCCTAAGTCTATGCACCCACAAGGGAAGCACAATCCCCTTCAATTTGTTTTACCACTGTGCATCAATGTACTAGCAATTCAACTGTGCTTTACTCAATATACTAGTTCTATGTAAAACTAAACTGACTGCAATGAACAACTACAACTAGCGCAAGAAACAATAAGCACGTCAAAGTAGACTGGGCAAATCAATAGCCGGTGGCAGATTAGTATACTTGCGAGTTGCGATCCACTCAGCATGTGCGGCTGCTAGCAAGTGCAGGATAATGAGGCTGCATGAGCGGCTGCTACTGCTAGCTAATATTATTGTGTGCCGTGTAGCCTTGTCTGTGAGGGAGACAAGCAAACAAATTCAACATGAGATGATGTGTGGCATGTGTGCGTATAGTACTTGGTTGAACAAAGAGAGCAATAAAGAATTCATAGGCTATATGGGACAGCAAGGAGTTGATTTCAGCATGCATGCAGGCATGCAGCACCACGCAGACTTTCAGCAGGCGTATATTCAGGCAAAGGGGAGCAAGAGCCCTGGATGGCCCTAACGTAGCTATGCCAGTAGCAACATTTTGGAATGGAGAAAGTATCATCCAAGTATGACCCTTTTTTCTTCTCGAATGACATGAGAGGTGCATGTCATTTCATTAAGGGAGAAAAGAGGTACAAACAGGGTGAGGCCAAAACAGCCCCACCCAAACACACACCACACACACATTTAGGTTTCAACGACGCAGGCACGACAAGGGAAAAATTAGAAAGACGACCAGACTAGCACCCAATGCTAAGCATCTGGGGCAAGCCACCTAACTAGGAGTTCATGGAACTTAGAAGCACCAGCCACGATACACAAACAAAGCACGGACCTTTTTGCTCAAATTTTTCTTTAATATTTCAGAAATTGACAGACTCACCGCCAATGGCCAGACTGAAAAAATTATGAAAGATACTTATCAATGGGTAAACAACTGAGGCTAAGGAAATAATCAAATTTCTTATATAAATAGTAATCCATCTGTTTCAATAAGTCATTTTAGGTTTGTCCTAAGTCAAACTTGCCTAACTTCGGCAAAGTTTATAGGAAAATATATTAACATCTGCAATATCAAATAAATGCACTATCAAAATATATTTCATTGTGTACCTAATGAATCAATGCTGTAGATGTTTGTGTATTTTTTCTAGAAACTTGATCAAAACTAGAGAAGTTTGACTTAGGACAAAGTTGAAACAATCTACAATTTGGAACAGAGGAAGTAGCAATCATCTAAAGAGTTCCACATGCAACTAATTTCCATGAAGCAAAGTACGCATGATTCTTAGAACTATATAGTATATTAGTATATTTGCCTAATCGCTCTAAACAGACTTCAGCCACTTATGTACAATTAATATTGCTTATATCAGTTCATTGACAACATTGCCTCACAGTGTATGGTGCTGAAATGCTGAAAGCCCAATAAAAGGGCGTACCCAGTGCAGAGAGCTCCCGCTCTGTGTAGACGCCTAAAATTTGGTTTATATCATCAAGTCCACAAACAAAAAATCAAACTACCATTGCCTCTCCCCTACCTCCATCAATATGCGGAAATACATAGTTTTTTTTATCTGAACAGGCAGTTAGTATGTGTTATATTGCCTTAATAAAGCAAATCGTCCTATTTTTTGAAGAATAAATCATCCCCTAATAACGCAATGAAAAACACCAACAGTCATCACTTGTTCATCCATTTTACCATTTGTCCTCCACTCAATCCCAACACCAGGTTGGCATACTTAAACGAAACATAATAGAAACCTCAGTCCACAGCCAAAGTAGAGCCGGCCAAACTTCCTTACCAGTATCGGGAACGAGAGCTTGGGAGGCGCCGCGGAGGCGCTCTCAACAGATAGGTTAGCGAGCGCGTTTGTGACCGAGAGCCTCGCCGTTGCCATCCACTGCCTCGTCGCCGCCGTTCCAATTGGAGCGCAGAGTGGCTGGCGAGGGCGAAGCGGGCACCTTCGCCGCAGCGCTGTGGCGGCGGCCGGCTGCGCGGCGATGGTGGCGGAGAGCATTTGGTTGCGCTTAGGTGATGTGCTGATTGCCACCGGGGATGGCGACGCCGATGGGTTTGTGCCTACATGCTAGGGTTTTAACTCGTTTGTCTTTGAGGTTGGGCCGCGATAAACTGGGCCTGATGGGCTTTCTCCAACAAAAGGCCATATGCCTAGAGGCGTGGGCGGCCGCGCGAAGCCTTTTTGCCAAAAAGCCCCGCAAATTCTACAATCATCACGAGTCACTCGTGAAGCTCGCGCAGTCCCCCGTCCCCCAAATCCCCAGAACCCTAGCAGAGGCCTCGAGCACGAGCCCGGCGATGGCGTCGGTCAGCGAGACGACAGAGCAGTCCACCATAACGAGCACAACTGTGGACGACGGTGGTGCGCACGAGAGCAAGCGGGAGCACCTCAATGGCGCGGTGGCCACCCCCACGGTTGGGCAGGAGGAGGATGAGATGATCGGGCCGGGCCCTGCGCCGGCGAAGCAGCGGCAGAAGCGCCCGCTCCAGTTCGAGCAGGCGTTCCTCGACGCCCTCCCCTCCGCCGCCATGTGCGCCCTCTCCACCCTCCTCGCCATTTGGGGGTCAGGATTTGGTGGCGCCCGTCGCTGAGAGCTGGTTAACTAAGGTGTTTTTTTTCGCAGGTACGAGAAGAGCTATATGCATCGGGATGTCGTCACGCACGTCGCCGTATCTCCTGCTGACTTCTTCATCACTGGGAGTGCAGATGGTGATCTCTCTGATACCCGTCTCAATATCTGAGTATTGTCTTATTTCGTGTGTTATCCTAATGATGAGTTGATTTTTTTTCCTGGAAAATATGTGCAAATTAAAAATAGCAAACATACTATCCTGTGATTGCTGAATTCAAATTTAGGGCTTAGAGTCTGTGGAGTGTCATGACGAAGTCTTGGTGAACAGCACTGCTTGAGAGCTTAGATCTATGCAGTAATTCATTTTATTGAGCTTATTAAAGGGAACACTATTTGTTGCAGTCTTAGAGATGGGAGCTTAATTGGCTTTCTTTTCTTCTGTTTTAGGACATCTGAAGTTTTGGAAGAAGAAACCTGTTGGGATTGAATTTGCTAAACATTTTCGGTCTCATCTCAGTCCCATTGAAGGTCTAGCTGTGAGTGCGCACATACTTCAGTTCATTTTGTTGATTCAGGGCTGTTACATTCGTGCTACTTATCTTATGATGCATAGAATATTCTTTGGCTTGCTTGCTCTTACCATTGCTCCTGCCTGTGTTATTAGTAATGTGAACGACTGCAAATTATAGCATGATTCAGTAATGCAGGTGAGTGTTGATGGATTGCTTTGCTGCACAATATCCAACGATCGGTCTGTGAAGATATATGATGTTGTAAACTATGACATGATGTTCATGATGCGTCTCTCATTTGTTCCTGGGGCTATTGAGTGGGTTCATCGAGAAGGAGATGTTAAACCAAAACTTGCCGTTAGTGACCGGAATACACCTTTTGTTCACATATTTGATACCCATTCTGGTTCAAATGACCCAATCATGTCCAAAGAGGTATTCTTCTGTTCCTTTTTATGCTTGTTTGTATAGTTTCTGTTAATTGCAATAGGATGCTTACTCCATGAGCTGCTTCTTTAATTGCAGATTCATGGTGGCCCTGTCAAAGTTATGAAATATAACCACATTCATGATGTTGTTATATCTGCTGATGCCAAAGGACTGTTGGAATACTGGTCTCCTTCTACCCTCAAGTTTCCAGAAAATGAGTACGTTATTGCTCGTTTCCAGCTATTTCTTGTCTTATGTAGCTTACATTTAACTTCATGAAAACACTCTCCAATGGTGCTGAGTGCTGAAAAATGCTGCAAACCTGAGCATATGTTTGCATTGTTCACTACTTCTACTGAAAACTTCATAACTGGAACAACATACAAGTTGTATATGTTCATCTCAGTGAAATCTAATTAGGTGTTATTATGTTTAGTGACATGCAACTGTTGAAGGAATAGCATAATTACTATCTCAGTTTTAGTCTTGTTTCTTATGAATTCCTTGCTTGATAATAACCTACCTAGTTGTTTCTGGGTTAGATTTTTATTCAATCATATCACTTTGTCTGCATATTCTTGTGATTTCCCATTGTGGCATCCACAATTATTCCGCTTGACTAATTCATCAACTCAATCAACATTGCTGCTTGTTTTGTGCAGGGTGAGGTTTCGCCTGAAATCAGATACAAATCTATTTGAAATTGCGAAATGCAAGACAAGTGTGTCTGCTATTGAGGTACTTTCTTAGTCCTAGATTGATTTCCATATCTTGTTTCTTTGTTAGTAATAGATTAAGTAGGCATACTACTGAATGGGAGCGGGCTTGAATGCTTTGCAGAACCATAAGGGTATACTCAATGACATTGTTCTGCTATGCAACATGCTTTTTCCTTTTCTTTTTTATTGGCACAGCAGTTAGATAATGCTATCTGAATTTGTGGATTTGGGTTCTTCATTCTGAAATACGTATATGATTACCTGAGAAATGACATTAAAGTAAATAATTGGACACAATAAACCATGCCTAATCCGGTGCTATTCAGGTAAGCAATGATGGCACTCAATTTGCTGTCACATCCCCTGATCGCAGGATACGGGTATTTTGGTTCAAAACTGGGAAATTAAGACGTGTATATGACGAGTCCCTAGAGGTAAGAAACTTTCCCCTGGCAAATATTTGGAGAGCACAGGTTGTCATATTGCATTCTTATTTTTAGTTGATGAATATTGTCATTTCTAGGATTGCATTCTTATTTTTAGTTGATGAATATTGTCATTTCTAGGTGGCACAAGATCTTCAAAGAAGTGATGTTCCATTGTATCACCTTGATGCTATTGATTTTGGACGACGAATGGCTGTGGAGAAGGAAATAGAGAAAACAGAAAATGTTCCACAACCTAATGCTGTCTTTGATGAGAGCTGCAATTTTCTTATTTACGCTACCCTCTTGGGTGTAAAGGTATGCTGCACTTTCTTTCTTTCCCATAATTTCCTTTATATTAGTTTGTTCTTTGTATACTTAAATATTTTTTAATGTATATATTGTATTCCTTCTGTTTTCTTAAATATGTGATGACCATGTTTCTATTGGAGATTCTTTAATGCTGTAATATCTTTACATCTTATATGGGTCGATTGGTGCTCAAACTTTATGGTTTTACTAGAAGATTATGGCACTGAGGGCTTAGTTGTTAGTCCGGAAGTCCAAAGTCCAAACAAATACAAAATGACTCATGCTTTGTCTTAGTTCCTTGTGTGTCAAGATGGGGCTCTTTCATGTTTCTCCTCTTGATTTGTTGATTGTGTAAATGGATGATAGACCATTCCCTGCTTTTGCTGATTGCCAGATTGTGTATATGGGTTATATTGTTATTAAATCTTTTCTGTAAAACTTATTAGCTCTGTCATACATGTGCAGATTGTAAATTTGCACACAAATAAGGTTTCCCGCATCCTGGGGAAGGTAGAGAACAATGAGAGGTTTCTGAGAATTGCATTATACCAAGGAGACAAAGGCAACAAGAAGGTTAGAAAAATACCTTCGGTAGCTGCTAATGTCAATGATAGCAAGGAACCGTTATCAGATCCAACACTGCTTTGTTGTGCTTTCAAGAAGCATCGGATATATCTCTTTAGGTATGCCGTTCAATCATATCTGGAGAGTTCCTTCATTGGCTGGTTTATGATTTTGCATGCTGGTTTATGATTTTGCATGGTGAATTCCTCTTCAAAAAATTATCCTATATCTTGTTTCTTATGTAACATGGTTATTCTTTTGTTTTACCAGTCATAGGGAACCGGAAGAGCCTGATGATGCAACTAAGGGTAGAGATGTTTTCAATGAAAAACCACCTCCAGAAGAGCTTTTGTCTGTATCAGACCTAGGAAAAACTGCTACAACATCATTGCCTGATAATTTGGTATGTTTTACTTGCTCCTTGAATGTAACTTTGATAACTGAGTTATTTCTTTCTGGTGTTGTAACTTGTGAGGGGCTGAAATTTCTTAACAAATCCGTCATTGTATTTCAGGTGCTACATACTTCTATGGGTGACATTCACTTGAGACTATATCCAGAAGAGTGTCCAAAAACTGTGGAAAACTTCACTACCCATTGCCGGAACGGTTATTATGACAATCTTATATTTCACCGTGTGATTAAAGGATTCATGATTCAGACTGGAGATCCTTTGGGGGATGGCACTGGTGGGCAATCAATCTGGGGCACTGAATTTGAAGATGAATTTCACAAGAGGTATGTTTATTTTTTCCCATATAAGGTACTAATAGGAGTTCTATAAGTTCTTGAATCATAGAATTTCTTTTTTCTTCCCGCCTTTAATCAGAACACATGAATCCATTTTTGCTTTGACTGTCTCCAAGATACAACTTTGACAACAAGTTTAATCTGGTATTTTGTTTTAGAAAAGGAGATAGTGCAATATCATGCAGATATACTTAACCCTGTTCTGTTCGTGCCATTTTGATGTGGCAGACCTATATTCGGTTGAAAATATATTAGTGGGATATATGTTCAGAGAACTTGATGCAACTGTTCTTAGTGATATCATTACTCTGGTTCTGATATGTTTGTAATGATAATAATAATAATAAAAATGACCCACTGGCTTTGCCCTCAAGAAAAGGGAGTACCAAACCCTTGTTTTTCTATGATAGCACTATGCGGTTTTTTTTTTTTAATATGGTTACTTATGACATCCCTTCTAGTTTGGTGATGTTGCTAGTGCTTTTTGTGCAGCTTGAGGCATGATAGGCCTTTTACACTTTCCATGGCCAATGCGGGAGCTAATACCAATGGTTCTCAATTCTTTATCACCACTGTGGCAACTCCATGGCTAGATAACAAACACACAGTGTTTGGTAGAGTTGTGAAAGGGATGGATGTTGTCCAGGTATTCAGCGTTTGCAACTTCAATTTAGTGGCAGACTTTTGCCCCTGCATTTCCTTGTTTCTTCTTGCTAACTTAATGTTTTGTGCTTGAAGCAAATTGAGAAGGTCAAGACTGACAAGAATGACAAACATATCAAGATGTAAAGATCTTGAATGTTACAGTTCCCAAGACATAAGCTCGTACCTGATTAGTTGGTCAGTTTCTTCTATTTTTCCTTGTATTTCCTTTAATAAATCTGGAAATTTGGTTTTTTTGAGCTTGCATTTCTGAGCATGGTTTGTCTTTTTGTTGTTTCCATTGCTGATATATCACGTCAACCATATATTGGCCCTGATACATTCAGTGGTTGATGCTTTAGTTGAATTAGCGTTTCTTTTGCATTTCTTCCCCTTGTGAACTACTGTAATCATGTGCTATTAATTGTATTTTATAGACTGTTGTTGTCTTTGTCTAATGTCTTGTGCCTTGCGCAGGGTTCGGACATTGTACCTGCACTCCTTGGTTGGACATATTGCTAACCTGTGGAAGACGATGTGCTGGAGTCTTAGAGATCAGCTATATGCTGTGCTGAATTGAGCACACCTTCCACTGCTCTTGACGTCGTCTTATTGGAACCTTGCAATTATCAGGATCGATGGTACCTGAGGAATTTTAGGTTTAGCTTTTGATTCCAGAGTCGTGGGGCAGAAGGTTGTAGTTTTTGTAACGTTGAGTTAATCTTGCAGGTTGAAATGAAAAGAAAGAGAGTAAAAACACGCAGTAGCTGTTTAATTTTTGACAATGGTAAGAGGAAGATGTGCCCAGTTCTCCAATGTATAATCATATATAGTCGGCCCAATGAGCTATTTCTGGTTTTGCGTTTCGACCATTGGTGGCGTGGCGTCTGGACCTGTACCCATCAGAGTTGCCATCTGAGGGGACTAGGAGTATTTTTTTGGCACTGCCTCTTGGCAGCCGTGGGGCCACTGTGCCAGCGTCGTAGACATTGACTGGTCTTGGCGCTGACCTGATCTCCCCCCAACTTGTACGTCATCATCAAATGTAAACTGGTAAGCCGGGGAGGAATCTTTGGTTGGTCGTCCTGTCTGCAGGGTGACGACTAGCTTTGTTTACACTAATGTCCGGCCGCGCCGTGTATCATGCCGCGAACCTGGACTATGGAGAAGGGAGAGGGCATCGCTGGTGTTCCCACTTGGCCTGTCTGTATCGGCAATCAATCGAAACAAAGATGATTCGGGAATGTTCTATTGTACTACGTAGATGCAGTTCCGCAAACCACGTAAGGTGCAGAGCAACTCCAACAGAAGTGCTATAGTAATCTATATTTGATTATTTTGAAAAAAAAAGAAAGAGAGCTACTGTATCTAGCTTTTTAAAATAGCAACTCATGTATTCCGAAATTCTGGCATGTATAGCTTGCATGTGTCCGTAGCCATTCGGGGGTCACGCGCAACGTTCGTTCGGCCGGGGACCGTGCCACGTGGCGGTGGCGCCAGCATTAGTGCGAAACGCCAGCGGGGAGTCGGGAATAAGCGGCCAATCGGGAACGAAAGGGAGGGAGCACCAAGCGCCCCCCGGCCCTGCCTTTATTTCCGCGAAGCACGGGGAGGCAGGTAGCGTGTATAAAAAGTGAGCAAACGCACGCCGTCTCCGCCTCGTCGTGCGACTTTCTTCGATCCATTCCATTCCATTTCCGCCTCCACCCGTCGATTGTCTCCGTCTGCAGCGCGAGGACCGTCTCCGTCGGTCGGCGTCCTTCGCGATCGTCTCGTTTCGTTTCTGCCTGCTTGCCTGACCGTGGGGGATGGCCAGGCACTTCAAGTACGTGATCCTCGGCGGCGGCGTCGCGGCGGTACGTGCATGCGTGCACCCTCTGCCCTCTCCCCTCTCTCTTTCTCCCTCTCCCTGCGTGCCTTCAATTCAATTCGTGTGTCGCCGCCGATCACCGGCCGCCTGAGCTGACGACGAGGGTGCCTGCGCGCAGGGATACGCGGCGAGGGAGTTCGCCAAGCAGGGCGTCAACCCGGGCGAGCTCGCCATCATCTCCAAGGAACCGGTACGTATGCGCATCCTCATTCCTCCATGATTGTTCCCGATTCTTTTTTTTTTCTTTTCTTGTATGCGTACTAATCAATCACAATTCGCAATCCTCGTCCGTGCCGTGCGCTTCCATTTGGGCTCCTACGTTACTCGTGCCTCCACCCCTTCCAAACTAATTCAATTTGCTCGCTGTTCCTACCTAGTTATCCCCGATCTTCTTCTTCTACTTTTTTTTTTGTTTCCCCATCCTGAGATCTAATTAGTTTAGACTCTGAAATTCCGCACAGTTATTCTTCGCTCACCCGCCTGAAACTGAAATTTGGTGATTAAATTGGGGAAGCTGCCAAGCTGGGGCGCTCAGTAATTTTTAAAGAACGGGCAACCTGCAATGATTCCCCCACTTTTCGTTCTCTAACACACCGAATTGGACTCTGAAATGTCATGTGAACGTTTCTTCAACCCATAACCAATCCTCAGGATCTTTTGTTTTTGGGGATCGTTGCCGCCGGCAAATAGACATTTCAGGTTCAGGCCAACTCAACAAGCAGATAGACAAGAATATCGAATCGAATACCCTATCCTTTACCAAAATATGCTGCTACTTTTAATTGCTATATATAACTGTTCTGCAGCTGATTATTTTGTGGCGATGCCTCTGCTTAACTTGATCCTTCATCTTTCAGGTGGCCCCTTATGAGCGCCCTGCACTCAGCAAGGGATACCTCTTCCCTCAGAGTAAGTCCAAGAAATTTCCCCCCTCGCTGCTTTCGATGATACTTCGCACGCATGATTTCTTACTGATACCCGATGCTTGTCCATGTTCTGTCAACAGACGCCGCAAGACTGCCAGGCTTCCACACGTGTGTGGGCAGCGGTGGAGAGAGGCTACTTCCTGAATGGTACTCAGAGACAGGTAATCTCTCCTTTACTCCTCCCCTAATGATGTTCCTCAATTGATCAATATCCCTGCACTTGTAGTCTGTTATTGGAATATATACTAGTTATTGAATATTTCATATGTGCACAGGTATTTTGATTTTTTTTTTTTTTTACACTCAAATTGATCAATATCCCTGCACTTGTAGTTCCGTTGTCGGGATAGTACTAACTATGACTATTCTGAAAAAAATGATGAGTTTTGCACTCAGCTGCAACTATGACAGATTTAAAATGCATGTTGAATTGTGCCTGCTTAGCTGGGGAAATGTTCATCTCCAGGATCAAGTGTTCTTTATTTATTTTGTGTTTGGGGGTCCTGAATATAGCATGCCACCTTACTTAGCAGCTGGCCTCTGGAGTAGTCTATCTGACAGCTTGAACAAACATGTGTAAAAGGCATTACTTTATCACAGTTCTGATCATGAGCTGATTATGTTTGTTTTCAGTCATTGAACTGATCCTGAGCACTGAGATTGTGAAGGCTGACCTTGCCTCAAAGACTCTGACCAGTGCAGTTGGGGATACCTTTACATATGAGACCTTGCTCATTGCTACTGGCTCCTCGGTTAGTTCTCACTGCAATTTTTCTCCTAAAACATAGGAGATTGCCTTTTACGTAACTTTTTCAATGGGAACTTGTTACCTGGGTTACTCATGATATATTCTGTCTTTGTGTTCAGGTCATAAAGCTCACTGATTTTGGTGTTCAAGGAGCAGAATCCAACAACATTTTGTATCTAAGGGATATTGCAGATGCCGACAAGTTGGTTGCAGCTATGCAAGCAAAGAAGGATGGAAAGGCTGTGATTGTTGGAGGTGGTTACATAGGGCTTGAGCTTAGCGCAGCCTTGAAAGTCAACAACTTTGATGTGACCATGGTGTATCCTGAACCCTGGTGCAGTATGTCCCGTTAACCTGAAAGCTTATCACGCATGTTCCATTCTCTGGAATTAATCTGAAACAATAACTGACTTTTTCTTTACATCTTGAACTCGATCTCTTGTAGTGCCCCGTCTCTTCACTGCTGGTATTGCTCATTTTTATGAGGGCTACTACACTAACAAAGGAATCAAGATTGTGAAGGGCACTGTTGCTGTTGGTTTCGACGCTGATGCCAACGGAGATGTGAGCACTGAACACTCTGCAGATTCAGTTTCGCAATGTGTGCTCTGAATGTTAACGTTCACCTTAATGAATGCTAGGTCACCAAAGTGAAGTTGAAGAATGGAAGTGTTCTCGACGCTGATATCGTTATTGTTGGCGTCGGTGGCAGGCCATTGACGGGTCTCTTCAAAGGCCAAGTTGATGAGGAGAAAGGTGGACTCAAGGTTAGTTCACTTCTTGCTTTTCTTTATTCAGTTCAACATAGGCCCATATTACAGCAGAATTGTCCAAACCTCTTTTTTCATAAAAAAAGAAGACATGTCCGAATCTCGATGAGCATCTATGTGGCCTGCCTGATATTGTGCTAACATCTTTTTTTCTTGTCAGACCGATGCATTCTTCGAAACAAGTGTTGCCGGAGTATACGCCATCGGCGACGTGGCCACCTTCCCTCTGAAGCTCTACAACGAGCAGAGGAGGGTGGAGCACGTGGACCACGCTCGGAAGTCGGCCGAGCAGGCCGTGAGGGCGATCAAGGCGAAGGAGTCCGGCGAGTCGGTGGCCGAATACGACTACCTGCCCTACTTCTACTCCCGGTCGTTCGACGTGGCGTGGCAGTTCTACGGCGACAACGTCGGCGACGACGTGCTGTTCGGCGACAACGACCCGGCCTCGGCCAAGCCCAAGTTCGGCAGCTACTGGGTGAAGGACGGCAAGGTCGTCGGCGTGTTCCTCGAGGGCGGGTCGGCCGAGGAGAACCAGGCCATCGCCAGGGTCGCCAGGGCGCAGCCGCCGGTGGCCGACGTCCAGGTGCTCAAGGAGGAGGGGATCGAGTTCGCTGCCAAAATATGAGCTCTTGGACAGGTGTAAAAAAAAAGAGAACGGTGTCGATTTTAGCTGATTTTTTTTTTTGCAATTCTACTTTGAGCTTTTGCTTCGTTATACTGTACTGTAGTTCAGAATAGTTAGTCTCCTCCCTAATAATTTGGCCTTGTGATGCGACCACCGTGGGATGACGATCCTATTAATAATAATGTACGTATGTGATCTGTAGCGTCTC